GCACCACATTTTATGTACAGTGTCAAGGAAATCATGAGTTACTTCTACAGCATTTTGATTCTTACCTAGAACTTGGGAGTGTCTCACCAATGACGTCTAAGCAACCACTGATTTCAAGACGTTTGAGGATCTCGATGACATTTGAATCATGAGATCCAAAGTTTTTTTAGATCCACGATCTAGAAAGTTAAATATTCTGACCTTGAGTTCTTTTTCTCCCGAGTCCAGGTACCTGCAGGGTATGGTATGCAGCCCATGCCTGTGTGACTGGCAAAGACTTTTTCTTGGCCAATATCAGCCTTTTCTCATGCTCCCTCCCTCCCCATGCCACTGATACGATCAATCCTTAAGACATCCAAAGATAGTAAATGGGCCCAACTAATAAAGTGAGCCCATCCTCAAGTAACCTGTTTTAGGAGTTTTACACGTTTTACAATCTGGCATGGTATGGTATTGACATCTTTGTACTCCAAACTACAAAGCTCGGTAGGATAATTTGGCCTTTAGTAAAATTTTCCATCAGTTAAGTTCCATTTTATTTATTTATTTTTGCCCTGGACCTTTTTTACTAGAGTAGATTTGTTTTCAAAATCTGTAGCCTTGGTTACTTATCCATTTAACCTACCAACAGGATACTTTCCTAAAATCTAAACCGTGTTTCTGCTCTTTTCAGCTTCCAGTCTCTGTATCTACTGAACGCTGTTCATAACTTTTCTACTCGTCTTCTAAACTGCTCCCTATCACTCGTTGTTTTCTCCTGGTTCCAATCCATCCTTCCAGACTAATCTTCCTAACTTACTAGTCAGTTCCCTCTTAAACTAAACATTCAGTATGGTGCTCCTGCTTAACACGAGAAAAATAATAGACTGGATTTTTAGTAATTATCTCGTTTACTCCCTTCATTTTACAGACAAGGAGTAGAAGTTCCACAGAGAGAAAGAGATGTACCTAAGACAGAAATGACTTGCTGTAGGGCTCTGGTGGTAGAACTGGTCCCACTGACTTCACTGCGTCCCCTTGGGCCTCCTTAGCCCAACATTCAGGTCCCTCTCTAATGTGGCTTTCCTGGAATATTTCTTACCTCTTTTCTTAAGGAGCCTGATTTTTCTGTCCTTGGTCTCCCAAAGGTACCGTGCGCTTTCCCATTTTGTCTTTGCATATGACCCTTCCTCCCTAGGCTAATGTCTCACTCCTTTGCAATTAATAATAAACTCATAGTCATTCACATGCCATGCTGAAGCACTAAGTATTTTAATGTTATTTAATTCTCCTTTAGTCTTTAAAAATCCACTAGCTAGATTCTCTTATGTTTTCATTTTACACACGTGGAAACTGAAGCTAAAGTAGGTTAAATTAGCCACCCAAGATCTCCAAGTCAGTGTGTGGCAGGGCCTGCATTTAACCTGAGCTGTGTGTTTCCAGAACTTGTGCTCTGACTCTTAACAGCAAACTAACTACCTCAAAGGAACATTTTGGAAGTTCCAGGCCAAAGGCTCCCTCTGCTCTATCAGACTTTCCACAGTGATCAGTATCCATCACAGAAGCTGAATTTATCACAAGGTTATCTGTGCTTTCAAAATGCTATTTAACATGCCATAAGTGCTTACAAAGTAATATAATTCATGAACTGACCATAAAAATCTACAACCTCACTTCCTAAATTCTCTTCCAAATGTAATTGGAAAGGAACCAATGCAAGGCAAGAAAGTAATGAAGGGGAAAGAGACTGCTCTGTAGATAACTGTGCTGAGACCAGCACAGATCTTACCTCCACCAGGAACTCCTGATACCTGTGACCTTGAGATGACAGTCAGCCTCTCTGAGCCTCCATGTCTTCATCTGTAAAGTAGGCTTAATGGTATATATCTTGTGGGATTGTGGTAGAGACCATGTGTTAAAACTTCTTATAAATTGTAAAGCATTTTTCAAGAATAGTACTGGTTTTCAGTCCCATTAGAAATTAAATATCAATAAATCAGTTTAATGCAGTAATTATTTTATTATATACCCCCTCAGTGGTAAGGTGTGGAGATTTCAGTGTATTGGTCAGAAAACTTTTTGTAAGGTTTCTTTGACTTCTTTGAACCAGTTTTTTACATAAATTAATAAAATGGCATATCCCTTACAGTTTCTCTGCTCTTTAGGTGTATGTAGTCAGATCCTAAGTTTTCTGAATACTGATTTGATCAATTTTATATTTCTTTTTTGATTATGTAAGTTAAGCTTAAAAGAGGGCTGGATTGTCAAGCAGTTTGTGTTCAGAAGAAGTGCCACTTCTTGCCATGTTTCTCCATGTGGAATGGCTTTAATTTACATGGTTGGTTCATAATAAAATAGAATGTTGCTGCTCAGTCTGATTCCAGCCTTGACACCTGAAAAGGTGTTAGTTGTGTCTTTGCCACCAAGGCTTACATAAAATGAATGAGTCATTTTGTATGTCAAATACGAAGATCCAAAAGACAAAAGAAATTATGGAAGCATGGTGAGAAGTTTGAGAGGAAGAAAGTTAAGTGTAAAGAGCAAGAATATAACCTCTAAATTAAAAATAAAAAATACCACTTTCTGTGGCAGCCCAGACACGTTTTCAATAAGTGGCAAGGATTCTACTATTTTATTAATTCATTGAGGATGGCATAAGGAGGGATGATGGTAAGCCTCATGAGTGGAAAATGCCCAGGATGAGTATGCAGAGAGGAGGTGGAAACAAAATGGAGTTAAGAGGCAAGGGAGGCTCTGCTGTCAGAGATCTGAGTTCTAGTGCAGACTTAACACAAAGTAGCTGTGTGACCTTGGTCAAGTTCCTTCACCTCTTTGTACCTCATTCATCTGTTAATCAGAGATGATATGTCACAGGGATCTGAAGACTGGGTGCGATCATACAACGTAAGCTCTTAATGAGCACAGTGCCTGGCACATAGTAGATATTTGGTGTTAGGCTCGAGGCTGAGATGAGTGAGTGTGAGGTGGCACTGCTAGGGGCAGAATGGGAGTGAACACAGTGGGTTCAGTTACTGCCTTGACTTCCCTTTGACTACTTATTTTCAATCCGTGGTTGGCAATCAATATATGCAAAGGGCTGACCAGCAGTTATACGTGGATTTTCAACCCTGCAGGGGCTAGCATTCCTAATCCCCGCGTTGTTCAAGGGTCAACTGTATTTACTTATTATGCCTTTGTCTGGATTATTTTCTCACCAAATTGTTCTCAGATTCTAGAAGCTGTTGGCAAGGTCAAGAGGAAACATGGATTGTGTTATGGGAGAATTGTCAGAGATGACCTAGTTCAGCAAACACGCACAAGATCCTAGTTTACTATGGGGAAGAGTAAAGTTTTTAGAGACAGGAAGAGAGGAAGATAAGTCTGCAAAAGCAGACTTTTACATTGTACATTCTTTGAAGACCCAGTGTGGGCTAAATCAGTTGTTGGCTATATTATTCAGATGGGAATTTTAACAGTGCCAGAAGGCTGGGGTGAAAGAGTTGGTGCTGTATGTAGGAAAGGATTTGAAGAACCTAGAACTCTGTATGCCTTGAAGTCTCAGTATGGATTGAGTGTTTATGATGTGTTTGCCACATTCAGTTATCTCAGTTTATGACTATTTGACATGAGTCCTTGGACTCCATTTTATAGATGAGAGAAACCAAAGTACAGAGTTTAGATTTGTTTTAAATTTCCTGGTTCCAAATAAAGTTAATTGTTCAATTTATGCATCAATGACTGATAGAAGTGTGTTAGATATATTTTTAAACCCTTTAAAAGAAACCAGGTAAACATTTGAGGCATCTCAAATGTTTCTTCCTAGGTAAGTGGATTAAATTATATCACAGAACTGAGTTTTTCTAAATTATTTAAATTATAAAGCATCTTTATTTCACAAGTAGCATTGTTCTTTTGAAGTTTCACAGACCCTTTTTCCCAAGAACAATATAGAACAGTAGTTCTCAAACTTGAGCACTCATCATTTTGAGTAAGATTCCGTAGGTCTGGTGTGGCCTGAGAATTTGCATTTCTAACAGGTTCCCTGGTGATGTCGACGTTATTTATCACTTTGAGAACCACTGACAAGAAAAATATATTGTATTCCTGATCCTGCGGAGGAACAAGTAGTAAAATAGTCCTGGAAGGGAATTCTAAGACCACAGATGGCAATCGAAGTTCATTCAGATCATGTTTCTAAAGCTCTGTAGGTTATGTACTTAGCCACGCATAACTGAATTTGGAGTTCAAAAGATTTGCATCATCACCTACTTTATTTTTAGAGATTGCTTTGATTACAAAGGAAATCAAGAATGAAAAATTACTATATATGTAAATATTAAAATTCCATGGTAATTTAAAAACATAACAGGTTTGTATGTGTTTTTCTTCAAGACACTGAAAACAGTATGATTAGGTGATATATATGGATTTTCTTACAGTCTTATTTTTCCTTTTTTTGTTCTCTGTAGGTGGCAAATCTTCCAAAAGACTATAAGATAACCCTCAAATATGTCCCCGGAATGGACATTTTGGTATGTAATCTGTACATTTCTGAGTTTCATTTTAGTAGCTGATAAGAGATGAGGTGATCGTGTTAACATAGGAAATTAGCTGTCATTTAGGTATTTGCTAATTGTCAGAATTTGAAGAAGGTATCTTTGGAATTTGACTTACATAGTTTTATTCCTCAAACAACTGCTAAACTTTAGTCATGGATGAACATTTCAGAACTTGTGTCCTAGATCTGTACTCCTAAAGTGACTAAGATCATCTTCCTTGGAGCTTGCCACAAATTTCTCTTTTTGCTTTAGTCTCTCCCCAACAAGACTTGACTGTAAAATTACGTAAATTCTTTTTTATATCTGAAAAGGTCCTGTATAAAAGTCTCTTTCCAATTTAACTTGAGAACACAAAATATTTTATCTCAGAATTTATTAGCTTTGTGATAGATTCTTAGAATCTTACAATAAAAACATGAGGTTATGATTATAAATACTTTATTAGTGTAACCAAGAAATCATTTTTCTAATTACCTATTAGATTCATATATGAAAAAATATTTCAAGCATGGGGAATAATGTAATGCCTGTGTACCCATCACATAGCTTGTCAGACCTTATCACTATGCGATATTTGCTTCAAATATATTTTTTTTAATAACGAAACATTATAAATATAGCAAAATCCCCTGGATGCCCCTTTCCTATCTCCAGTAGTCCCCACGTTGTCTCTTAGGGATGTATTTATCTCTTAGAAACAAATATTCTGAGCTGGAATTTTTCATTTCAAAGCATGATTTTAGGACTTGGCATGAAGATAGCCTCCCCCGAAGTTGCGTCGAGCAAAACAGCACACAGTAACCCTCATGCTCTTCTACTTTTATTGCAAACTGTGCATCTATACATAAGAGTATATTTTTGCATATTTTCATATCTTATGTTAATGCCACTATACTTCATATACTACTTTGCAACTTGCTCATATTTTGTAACATGCCTTTGACATATAACATGTTGCTCCATGTTGATTCATTTTCACTACTATATTGTATTAATTTCAAACCATTCAGGTTACCCTACTCTGGAAGTTGACATCTTCCTTAATTTATCACTTACTATACATCTACCTTGTGCAGGTTGTCTTAGGCTTTGAGTGATATTGTGGATGAGTCCATCAAAATTATAACCAGTTTAAGTGTGCTTAAGCACATCACTGAGTTCTTGTGCTTAAAAAGTCTTTCAAAGACTATAAGGTTATTTCAAGAGAATGTCAGAGGCATAATTCTTTTCATTAGTTCATGCTCTAAGGCTTACTTTACTTTGAACATGTTATCTTCCTGTCGAACCAGTTATCTTGAAGTCTAGCTCTGTTTTACTGGATTAGGGAGAGTTCTCTGGAAATAGGAATGTAAAATTATAGCAGCCTGAAAGTTAATTAATCATTCGTTCACTCAGGCAGCAAGTATTTGTTTAGGAAAAGCTATGGAAATAGCACTTCACCACACACTTTAAGAAACAAACACATGTCAATTTAAAAACTTCAGTAATACCTGGGGAGAAATTATTTGGTGTTTATCAAAATGATTTCACATATTTATCTCCTTGGATGGTTAGCAAAACCCTGTGAGGAAGGCAGGATAGATAGCTAAGGTAACTCCTATCTTACAAATGATACTGATACACAGAGGTTTACAACTCTTCTCCCCCTCCCCCAAGTAATTTTGCCCAAGGTTGTATAACTAGAGAATGACAGTCTTACAAAGAAACCCAGGCCATGTGACTTAACCCTGGGTTACAGAATGTGGTTATCTAAATAATTACACTTGCATGGGGAAAAATATTCTAGTGAAGCATCTAAGTAATAAAGGCACACCCTGCTCTGGATTGTGGAAGCACTTTAGGCCTCCGATTGCCAAATTCACTCAAAGAAATCATGCAGCTCTTTGAAAAACAAGTGTTAAATTGAAAATAATAAAATAGATTATTGTGTGCTGATATAATCACAGATTGTGCTAAATCACAGATTTCAGTATTGACTGGTGATAGCAAGAGCCAAGCTTGTAAAAATAAAGCCGATTCATTGCCACACGTTTTTTTCTTGTTTCTGTAATTGAGAAAAGTCCACTATTATTTGATCTTGGCAAATCGACCTGGCACAACTGGAGTAACTCTGTTCTTGGCTACCACAATTGGCAAGAAAAACAAGCGCATGCATATGGCTTTGAGCAGAAACATGGTCTAAAGCTTTGTTTTACCTTCATTTTAAAATGGTAGTTTCTGCCAAGATCAGAGGAGTTTCCCAGTGGACCGGCCCCTAGTTATTTGTCAGTGGTCAGAGTCCCAGCTGCTTTATCTTTTGTCTTTAAAATATAAACGGTAGAGTGGGAATCAAAATGGGTACCAGAAAAATTCTCTGAGGCCAAAGCAATAAAATTCTGCCTGAGGCCCTGGGCAGAAGAAAGTTCTAGAAGAGAATACACTATGTTTTACTTTTTGTTTTAAAAATCAGATAAATACTCCTGAAAAAGAAAGGCTACTTTTCTAAGGGCTTTCTTAGAAAATTACCTAGCAGGTTCTTTTTCTCAAATAGTAGGGTGTAATCAAACAGTTGATATTTAAATCTAAGGATAATTACCAATTCTGTTTAAACTGTTTGAAGCTATAATATTGCCAGACTCTTAAGATTTTTTAAGTTCCTAACCTAAAAAAAATCCTAAACATTTCTGAGCCTTTCCATTTACTAGTAATGTCATCGTAGAAAGAACAGAAATTGAACTGCTGAATTTGTGCTACACGTCTGCAGTCATTTTCATGTCAATAAAATGACATAAACTATGAGTTGCTTATGGTATTTGAGTAAAAAATTCTTTATCAGTTTTTAATTAAAGTTAAATTATATGTTTTAACTATTTGGAAATAATTTCAAACTTACAGAAAAGCTGTACAATACCCACTTACTCTTTAATCTAGATTCATCTAACATTGCCTTGTTTGCTTTACTAGATGCTTGCTTTCCTTGTGCACATGTGTTTATTATTTTCTAAACCCCTTAAGTAAGTTATAGACATCTCTGTTTACTCCTAAATACTTCAGTGTGTATTTCCTCAGTAAATGATTTTCTCTTACACAACCACAGTGTGGTTGTCAGCTTCATTAAGTTTAGGAATAACTGAAATACTTAAATCTACTAGCTGTATTTCAGTTTTATCAACTCTTTTTGTTTGTTTTTGGCACTTCTTCAAGCACAAGAACCAATCTAGGATCAAGATTTGCATTTTTATATCAACCGTGATAGGCAGACTAATGTTTCCTCAAAGATGTCTTATGCTCTTAATATAATACCTGACATGGCAAAAGGGACTTTGAAGATGTAATTAAGGATTTTGAGATGCGGAAAGTATTCCGGATGATCCAGGTGGACCCAGTCTCCTCACGTGAATCTTTATAAGAGGGAAGGCAGGAGTGTCAGAGCCAGAGAGAGGGGTTTGTAGATATTATATTGCTGGCTTTGAAAAGGAGGAAGGGGACAGAAGCCTCTGGAAAAGGCAAGGAAAGGGATTCTCCTGTAGAGACTCTAAATGAAACATAGCACCATTGAATGCCTTGACCTAATAAGACCTGTTTTGGACTCCTGACCTCAAGAACCGTAAAATAATAAAATTGTGCTTTTTTAAGTCCACTTAAAAAATTAGTTTGTGGAAACTAATTCATCATGTCTCTTTAGTCTCCTTTAAGAGTTCCTCAGACTTTCTTTGTATTTATGATAGTGAAATTTTTAGTAATGTAGCCCTCCCCTTTAAATAAAGCGTTTTCTCTTCGAAACATTTGATGTTTCTTAATGGTTATATTCATTATGCATTCCAAGCTTCTAAACTAAATAAATGATATGTCCTCAGGTTATCACATCCAGAGGCACACGATGTCTAAATTCTCATCCTGGTGCTGTTTTGACCACCTGGTTAAGGTGTTCCACTGTTTCTGTATTTACTTATTAGCAGCTAAGAAGCAGCCTTTGGGGAGATACTTTCAGACCATGTACAATTCCTCATCAAAGTTCCGCCCACAGATTTCACATCTATTGATGATTCTTACCTGGACCAGTCTTTACTCCCTGAGGTACAAAATTTGGCCTGAACAGAACCCACAAGATTATTATGAGGAGGTGAATGCCTGTCACTCATCACACAATGTCTGCACCTCAACATTATTATCTTCTTTTAGATAGGTGTGCATTTCGTAAAAGGTCTTAGGTGTAAGAGGTGTCATCCAATTTTGAGGAATCATGGTTTCCTTCACGGTTTCCTTAAACCTTCAGAAGGTTATACTACTTTGATTGAGTCATTTCCAGATTCAAGAACTCTCATTGTTCCTAATGACAGAAGGCTGATAGCCAGATTTCTGAATCTGATATTCCTGACTCTCCACAGTCTTGCCTCACCCTAACCACCTCATCTTAATACTTGTTATTCTCCAACACAGACCCCCCACCCTAGCCAGGTGCGTTCCTCCTTCTAAAATCACCATGCTTATTCTTAGCTCCAAGACTGTTTAGTGCTACTTCATTTTGCCAGGGATGCCCTTTCCTCTCCTGTTTACTCATCCAAATTCTACCACCGGAATCACACAATATTCGGGGGCTAAAAACGTCTTAATGGACATCTCCTCCAAGGTCAGTTTAAAATCCCTCTTTCTTACAAGGCTATTTACTGTTGTTCCAGACCTGCTGTTTCTTTCTTGTATCATTGCAAAAATTGACATCACTCCTTACAGTGCTTCTGCTTGGCGCTGGGGAGTGCCAAGTGCTCAGCAATACCACGTGGTGTCTCCTCTGTGGACCTTACCTTTTAGTTCATTATCTCAGAAGTTCTATAGAATCAGTACAGAAACTATTCATTTTGGGTACCTGATCATATACTACTTACATAGCTGTTTAAAATTGTACATGTTATGTATTTGTCTCAGGGTATTGTTGTAAAGAGATAGGAAAACTCTGAGATACACTATACATACAATAAACGTCAGATGTCATCATT